ATTAATAAAAATACGTAAATACAAAGGTGTTTCGTCTTTACTCGAGTTATAAGGTAAAGCCAAACCGGCAATTCTAGTCAAGCCAAATATTTCCGCGAATAGAAGGGATTACGAATCAATGCTGATACTCAAAGAACTTATTCTCATGAAGCATTTTAGCCAATTCAATTTGGAGTGAAAAGCAATTTCTGTAGAGAAATCCGAAAAAACTCGAGTAACCGTCCCCGACACTCTCATGTTTATGCATTTGAGTTCTATATTATTTGTAAAAATTAAACATTGGAAATTGTCATTATGAAATAGAATTTAAAGTAAAGTTGAAATAAACATAGAAGATTACAAAAGATAAATAATGCAAACTTTGTAAAAACAAATCAAAAATAATATAAAAATAATATAAAAAATATAATAAGAACAGTTAATGTACATGAAGATATAAAGGCCAGAAAAGGTATTAAGTAACTTACATTCTTTCTAGTGGGGAGTTGGCAAAGTGTTCTCTTCGTGTCTGACTCATAAGTGTAGGGTGTCCGAAAATTCTTAGCGGCAGTGGGGGCTCTGAATAATATCAGTCGGTAAGACTTGGGTGAAGTAATTTATGGTAGTGGTTGGGACTCGGAATTCTTGAGGGATGAATTATGTGGAGTGTTTAGGAAATAAATTATTATTAACTAACTTTGCAGCAATTGCGCAAGTAGTAGTAACTTGTTTTCGCACTAAATGAATTTAAGATCATACAACATTATATTATATATATATATATATATATATATTATACATATATATATATATAATTAAATAAAGGAGAACAAACTAAAAAATACTTTTGTGGTCTGGATCGTTTGCGCATTGAGCTGCAAAATTAGAAAACAAGTTAAAAGAATATTCTTAGTGCTTCCGCTAAAAAGTAGCTTAGTTGTGTTGTGGTTCCGGTGAAAAATGTTTTTAACATAATATATATATATATATATATATATTTAAATTTTTAAAATAATATAAAACTCAAATGCATAAACATGAGGGTGTCGTGGACGGTTACTCGAGTTTTTTCGGATTTCTCTACTGAAATTGCTTTTTACTCCAAATTGAATTGGCTAAAATGCTTCACAAGAATAAGTTCTTTGAGTATCAGCATTGATTCGTAATCCCTTCTATTCGTGGAAATATTTGGCTTGACTAGAATTGCCGGTTTGGCTTTACCTTATAACTCGAGTAAAGACGAAACACCTTCGTATTTACGTATTTTTATTAATTATTGTTCATTGAACGGGAGTTGGTTTGTTCCCCTTGAAAAGTCAACTAATTTCCGATCAATGACAATGATTACACGTTTTTAAATTTTCCTTTTGCAATTGAAATTTCGTTCTTCATGATGATTTAATTCCAGTCCCCGCTAAAACATTATTAACATTTTTGCTTTCACGTTACTTCAAAACATCTTTCAAAATATAACTTACCAGTATGGATTCACTCTTTTAAAATAATTCTACTTTTATTATTTAAACTTAGGAGATAATATAATCAATTAATCAATATTGTTTCAGAAATAAATTATTAACTAACTTTGCAGCAATTGCGCAAGTAGTAGTAACTTGTTTTCGCACTAAATGAATTTAAGATCATACAACATATATATATATATATATATATGTATATATATATATATATACATACACACACACACACACATATATATATATATATATATATATATGGTGTATATATATATATATATGTGTATATTTGGTGTATATATATATATATATGTGTATATTTGGTGCTGCCGATTTCAACAAAAGATGGAGGTGCACAAATAAATGTTATAGCAGTCCCATGTACAAAATTCCAACGCTCTATGGTAATCTGTTTTTGAGTTATACGGGATACATACATACGTACGTACACTGCGCAAAAAATTCTGTATCTTCCGGTCTACTGGGTCGATTGACGAAATTCAAGTTGCGTTTTTCATGTATGGAAAGCGCAACTTAGGATAAGTATTAAATTTATATATAACCATTGTTGTAATATAGGTATTTTGATACAAAATCGGACTTTTTCTGAAATGACATGCCAATGTTTTTCCATATTTTGATTCTACGACTCAAATTATGCACCAAAATTTTGTAATTGTTGGTGAGAAATGTATGGAGAAATTTAACAATTTATCTTGCCATATTTTTTTTTTTTTTTTTTTTTTGTTTTTGTCCAAAGGGATTTGAATCCCGAAGGACTATTAGTTTCGTTTTGGCATTTTGCGTCGGACTCATAAATGTCGGTTCACTTTTCAAACTGCTGCCACAAAATGTTAGAGTCCTGCATTATATTTGAAGAAATTAAATAATGAAAAATCTGCATAAATGTATGTATATTTCTCGTATTGTGATTAAAACAACGGTACATAGAGTCATCGAATTTTGAATAACGTAATCCTCCAACGAATATGAGCATGTGGAAGACCAAATTTGAAATTTGTGTTTTATGATCGATTTCCTATTTTTTAAAAACTTTGACGAATTTTGATTAACAAACTCAAGGATTTGAAAGCGAGCAATGGCAACGTTGTGCAGAAAAAAAACATTTTTATCTCCAGCGCGTGAGTCTCTGTATCGGAAATTCTATAAATACGCTCGTTTTAAAACTATTTTGCGATATTGCTGTTGCACTGGATCTTATGGTTTAAGTGCGAGGAACATGATATTTAATAAAGAAAGGTAACACACAAAATGTTAAAAAACGCCCCTTTGGACGTAATTTAAAATCTGAAACATTTCAGATTTTTTTTTTTTTTTTTTTTTTTTTTTTTTTAAGTTTGCGCCAAGAATAAATCACTTGGTGGAATTCTTAATTTATAGTAACTTAGTTACTTTAATTTGTTTTTTTCATTTATGCACGAAAGGAAGAAAGGTTCGTTGTTCATTCTTTCAAATAATCTTAACAAAGTGAGTAAACCACATTTTTGTTATTATCACTTATAGTATTAAATACGCCAAATTTTAAAACGTGTCAAAATGTAAATTCACATATATCTTTGGAAATTTTGAATAAAAAAACTCTGATTTTTTTCCCAAATATGCTTAAAAATACATGTACTTTAAAACAATGTTAAAAATTTTATAAGTTATTATACAAAAACAATTTTTCGAAAAATTTATAATAATTATTTTAAAAAAAGTCATAAAAAATGTGAGAATTATATTCTGATTAAGCATAAATTTCGAATTCCTGAAGAAGGAATCAAGTAAGTTTAATAAAAAAGCGATATTAGTAAATATATATCAAACTCAATTAACACTAAGGAGTTAAAATTTTGAGAGCTAATTTTTAAAAAAAATTACTCGTGCGAGTTTTACAAAACATGGCAGTTTTGGCATAACTTGAGTAGTAGAATCGAAATATGGAAAACCATTGGCATGTCATTTCAGAAAAAGTCCGATTTTGTGTCGAAATGCCTATATTGAAACAATGCTATATATAAATTTAATACATATCCTAATTTCTAGACATGAAAAACACAAGTTGAATTTCGTCAATATATAACCCTTCATGTAGAACGGGACATATAGAACTGTCTCTTACCCCCCCCCCCGCAGTGTGCGTACATATATACAGACGTCTTTTTCTGCTCGTAACGAATTCCAAAGCGGTCAAAATCGATACTTTCGTTGAAATATAATACCCGAAATTTTTCGTGTACCAGCACGGATGACCACTGACTTGCCATTTAAGTAAATGTCTTCCAGTTTATCGTCATTTTGGCAGATCGAAAAGCTGAGCGTGAAAATGGGCGGAGTTAATTATTGTGAATAATCAAGATTTAAGGAATACAAGGCCTACGTAAATATAGAAGCTTCATAACATATATATATATACAAGGTTCACTACATGAACATAGAAGATTCTGTGGAGTACACTCATTGTATAAACTTGTTTTCATGCGTTATTTATTTGTTATTTACTTGAGCTTTAATGCTTTCGATGTGCGTTCATATACCCAATATTCCTGATTAACAGAATTTTCTTTTAGAATGGGGTGTATTGTAAGTGCACTGTGTGCTACAATTCCGACTCTCTCGGGTGACCCAACATGAAAGGGATCTTTTCTCTGCTTGTGAAACAGGGTTATTTCGGCTAATTTCATGCCTTTCGAAAAGTGACCCATTCGCAAGTAGACTCTGTATAATTTTGGAAATAACTCTGTGGATCACTTTAATCATGATATTATATAACCCTTTAGGACCTTGCACGTTTTTATTTGCTAGGGCATTGATGATGTTACGCACTTCATGATCCGTAGAAGCATGGAAATCTCAGTTATGTTCTAACTTTTCCCATTAAATTTATGCCTTTTTTTTTCAAGTATTATAATCTTAGTCTATTCGCACCTCATGTTTAGCAAAGGTTACATCTAGAATTGTATTTAGCACTTCTGCTGTGTTTTTTACCTCCTGTTTTACTTTCGCGGTTATTAAATGATACTGGTAAATACGACTAAACCATGAATAACATCTTATCTTCGAGTTTGACTTCTTATCTGACACACCGAGGACATTATGCTTTTGTAGTTTTTTTGTTAGTGCCGTCGTAGTTTTCCAGAAGACTATGACATAAAGGTTATGTTGAATCTTACATTGATGACGTGACTTAATGACATGATTATATTTTCCAGCGACTAAAATATGACTGAAAGTCAATAACTTTTGAAACGTTATGAACATTTTCGTTATTTCATTTGAATAGTTTTAAGAGCTAAAATGCCAGACTTTGAAATTTTTCGAAATTTATGGGATGTAATTAATATTCAGCCATGGTTTGATAACGTATTAATGTTGATTTGCATTATTAAGTGTTTAAGATAATTTTAAAGATTTAGGTTAGCTGAATGTTAGAACTTTTTAATGATTAAGATTAATAAATTTATGTTGAAATAATTTTAACTAAAATTAGTAAGCTCGAAAATGTTATGATTATTAGAATTTTTTTCCTTTGTTTCAGAAATGTTTGACAGGCCACTGAAAGACGCAATCAAATCATTTTAAGGGGAAGGCTTCAGGATTCTTTTAGGAAGGAGGTCGTCTCTTTGCTATGCTATAAGGTCAGAACAGACACCACAATAAGAGGATGCCATGAAGAAGGCTTATGTATGTTACTCTGTAAATGAGAAGGAACATTATATTATTAGCATTAAGGGAATTACATCTGTTTTATTTCTTCTTATTGCCAGTGAAATATTATTCTGTACTCCGTACGCATGATTCATGAATTGCTTACATCATGTACTGTTAATACCCTGAGAACCCACGATAAAATCTCACACAGGGTTTTCTTTTTTCCTTACTTTTTTAGCTCAGCTCAGCAGTTTTTTTTATAAATTATTATCAGCCAATTTTCCTATGCCTTTTCAGAAAAATGGAAATTATTTCTGACAGACACGAACAGAAAGAGAAAACAGAATTAAAAGGATTAATTTCCTGACAGTAGCATTAATACACATCGAGCTGCAACAAACATTAAACTCTTCTTAAATATAAAATTAATTAAAATAGCCCTATATTAACTAAATAAAGCTATTTATATACTAAAACAAATGGTTAAAAGAAGGGAAAAAATCACATGTGCTACCGGGCAGTTTTAAATAAAATTTTCTACGTGTATTCAAATTTCAAGTTATGCTTTTTGAAAAACGCAGATTAAGCAACAAATGACTACTATTAATATTAATTATTAATGTTTTAGAAAAATATTATAATTAAATTATATATTAGAATTGGTTTGAACATGTTTACAAAACAAAAACAGGTAAATGGAAATTTACATATTATGATTTTTCTTGCAACATTTTCGTTCAGATAAGGCTTCAGATTAAAACTTGTAATTTTTTCTTATGTCACCTATAAAGCCGAAAATAGGTTTGATTTTATATATATATATATATATATATATATATATAAGAAAAATAAAGACTATGTAAAAGATAAAATTAATAACGTAAATTTCCCTTCTCAAGTCTAAAACTAGTAACATCTCTCTGCACTGCGTCATTTCTATATTAATCCATGTCATATGACTCAAATAATTCTGATGATGTAAATGGAACTAAAACTCAGACAACCAATAATAATTTTACAGCAATATTAACTATATAATCAAAATGCATTGAGAACTAAAACTAACTCAGTCTAAATTGAAGATTTTACCCTGAACATTACGCACTTGCTCTCTACGCTTTTGTTTAGTTGCACTGCAGCCTGTCTGCTCCTTCTTTATTACTGAAAATTTATCCAAAATGCAAATTTCTTGGAATAGGCACAATTAATGTGCCAACTTAATTGTGGCCACAACATGTTTGCTGAAATAAAAAATGAAGATTTAATCTGCCTTCCCCTCCAATCTCTTAATTATTATGCATCAACACTTCTGCGCCATCAAAATTATACTCGCCATTACTTCTAAGTTTGTTTTTATCACACACAAATATACATATATAAATTTGATTTATATATATATATATATGACACTGAATTTGAAAAATATAAATAATTGTAATTGTTTTTAATGAGCATTTTAAGACTACATCACGAAGGTATGCTAAGAAGGCGTAAAAAATATATTAAAAAAAAACACTGAAAATTGTAGAAGATATTTTAATTTTTAGATTTTGCTTCAAATAACTTTGAGTACTTTTCCGTTTCGCCTGCGCAAATCTCGCCAAGCAGACTTTATTGGTGACAACACACAGTAAAACATAAAAGCAATGTTAGCAAATGTTAGTTCTCAGAAATTTTTATTTTGAAGGCATAAACATTTTAATACCGTTTAAAATTTTGTAAAAAGACAATAAATAATAAGACAATAAATTTGTAAAAAGACATTAATATGAGAATTTACTATGCTTTCATGGCACAACATACTGATTCGCCGTTTCATATCACGTGACCCCAAGTGATCTCATTTCACGTAAACTACGCTACAAAAATCTAATTGTCTCAGTAATTATCTACAATAATTTGAAGTTAAATTTTAATTTGCAATACAAGTTTAAATGCAAGAATTATTTCAAATTTTACGAATAGATTATCAGAAGTTATGTAAAACTGCAGTGCTTTACTTCCCTAGTGAATTCTCATTAGAATTGATGAATTTAACCCTTGACTTTGCTTTTCCTATATTTTAGCCTTCGGATGAGCGGTGTGATTGCATTCTAATTGACTTAATTACCGCGAATGGCCTTTAGGCATAAAATTGAACTATCTGGCAAAAATTCTATGTAATTGCATGCCAGCATTGAGAGAAACAATCAATCTGATAAGAAATGGCTGCGACTTGTTTTCAAAATGAGACGTAAAATGTTACCAGAGAGGATATTCCGTTTGACATCGGTTGTACCATTTTTGGCGACTTTATCGTTTTCGCCGGCAAAATGAAAAAGTACCTAATTTTGATTTACTTATGGTAACACTTGACATTTCATAGAGAATTCTAAGAATCGGCTGTTTTCAAATATTTTGTGATGTTGCTATTGAATTCTATGTGGTGTACTTATAGAGGAAATGATGTTTAATAAATAAAGTTAATAAAAAAAGGACAGAAAAATGTTGTGTAAGATAGCTTACTAAGAAAACTAAATATTGTTATGAGATCTGAGAAAAGACTGTTGTTGGGCTACAGGGGCCCTGAATGAGAGAAGACTGAAAAAATATAGGAAAACCCGTGGCAACAATCAACATTCTATCGGAAATTCTAAAAATATGTTGTTTTATGCTTTTACTATTGAATTTTATGCGCGTCTCGCTTTGAATTGAGATTCAATAACTATTACTACAATTTACAGTCAATGGGTCCAGATGGATCATATAGAGCTATGTTAAAAATCGCAATGTACCCCACTCTCTAATGCTCGAAACGAGGGAGATCTTGTCCACATTGCATTTAGTGATTATCCTGCCAAATCACTAACTCTGACTACAAAAAACGTAGTGTGTTGCACAACACTAATTATCCGCAAATTCGGTGCGTCGACATCTAAAAAAAACCACATATTGTCAGCAAGGCGACCAACTTCTTTTAATCTTAAACAGAAATCAATGCCTATAATGGGACATTCAGCAACGTACGCGGACTAATTAATAACGTAAACGTCGTGGTTACTGATGAGTCACGCTTTTTCTTACAGTAACGTGATGGTCATATCTTTGAATAGTGGCACTAAGAAGTCTGAACACTGGAAGCTTGGACATAAGTTTAACAGCTTGGACATCAGCGGATACACACTCCGTTGACCTGTAATCCCGTATCCTGTGCTCTTAAGAGACACCGTTACATTACCTCTGTCTACGCCTGTGCCTTATCCTCAAGTTTTCTGTCGTCTCACATTTCAAAGAATAATATGCCTACATTGTCTTGTCACACAGTCCATATCTCTTAGCAACTGAAAACGTCTGATTAATAGTTGAAGAGAGATTGGCACTACAATATCCCTCAACCAGTGTAAGGAATGAACGCTGGCGCACAATTAACAGAATCTGCAATACTTGTAAATGTGACCCAAAACTTGTTCGCTCCGTACCCAGCAGTAAGCGCTATCTCTCCCAGCGACGAATGCTTGGAGTACTGACTTCTGAACTTTCCGTAACTTGGAATTATATGAAGTTTCACCTTTACAGTATAATATATCTGCAGTCTAAATTTCATTCTATTGTAACTTTTCTTTCATGAAAACAATTTTAATGGCATGCTGTGTACTTCGCCGTGCCTACGATTCTTTATGATGGAGCATACTGATAACATAGGTTTTTCGTAGCTTTCGTCAAGTATAACAGCAGTCAACAACACCAATTGTATTCCATGCACGAGATAGCTTTCTTTTGCTTAGTGTAATAAATTATGTACTCTTACTAACTAAAGAAGCAAATAATTATGACTAGTGACCTAATATGATGTTGACCTCCACATAATGCCAAAATTTTTAAAGTATGAACGTTATGAACGTTATGCGGTTTCAGATGGTTTCTCTGAGATGATATAAACTCATGACCAGTAAATCGTTCATATTTCTAAGCTGTATAACTGACCGTTCTCAAATCTGATTTCTTATTCAATTTATCATTCAGGAATTCAATTTGCTTTATGTTTACGTAATCTGTATTCCAAAAATATTGGATAAAGACCCTTCTGTAAAAAAACACTATTTAAAGGAACGGATTATCTCCAATGAAATTTATGCAAATAATCAGCAATGTTTTCTGAAGACCAGTCTACGTAAGATTTTTAACGTTCATTTGCGTTTATGGAATTGTTGGCATACTGTGGTGCTGATATTTCTTAAATCAATAACATTTCACCCCCTGCTGAGTTTGTATGCGTGGTAAATTAGTTCCAGTTTTTAACTCCTTAAATGGTAGCTTAACGAAATGAACTTTGCTCTACATTGGAAAAGCACAGTAAACAATGCTCTGAAAATTTTTGTCGTCCGCTTCAAATTTATTTAGGTTCCCTGTCTGACACCGCATTTCTCCTCACTTCGAAATAGGGAGCCTATTGTGTTAAAGCTCAAGCCTGTGGTCTCGACATCCAAATAATTTCTAAAGCACCGCAAGCATCCGAAATAGAGAGAGGCAATTTTGTTCTTCAATAGAACTTCCTGAAGTTGAAAATTTCTGTGGATACTTATTTTGTAGGACTGATTGATCGCGGTCATTTTGATAGGCGGAAGGAAAATCTGATTTACAAAGGTAAAAGAAGGTATTACCTTTCTAGCTCTGAGATTAATCATAAGCTAAACGTGTAAGTTCACCGAAAATACTCTAGGGAATCACCGTGTGTTGGTTTTCTTAACCGTCAGTAAATTGGGGGAATCAGTGAAAGGGTTAAGGAGAAAATATGTAATGGTGTAACGTATTTTTAAAGACAGCTATAACACATAACAGACGCTTATTCTCTACTGTTTATGTTAGGTAAGTGAAGAGCCCTCCAGATCTTCGCAAGGACGTGAGAGTTAAAATCACAGTCGGTGCAAGGTGTACAATTCTATGGTGAAGAACGGGCATTGCTAGAAAGTTGAGAAAAGTAGAAATGCAACAATGAACCACAAAAATCATTAAACGCTGCAACTATAAATTGACAAAAATTTCTGTTATGAATT